TTCGTCAGCAAGTGCTTCAAGTCCCCCTCATTTCCAGCAATCAACGTTGTGAGTGAGCCTTCCTCTGATCCTGATGTTGCCTCCTCCTCTATATTCTCCAGCTTCTCCCATGACTTGCCAGCACACAGACTGGATAAGTGTGGTGAGAGGCTACAACCCAGACGCACATGTCCTGATGTTACACCACGCAGTGTTCCTTTGTCCTGTCCAGACAACTGCCTCTTGATCCACGTCCAGGTTCCACGTGAACACAATGAAGTGTTCTGGAAGTCCCGTGTTTTTTCCTCACGGCTATCCATGGTTTGTTATGGTGACGGTCTACACCTTTGAAAGCCTTTGTTTGATTTTGTCCACGGAATCCTTCAATATTGCAACTCTAGGCTTGAATTTTTTTCTTCAGTTTTCAGCTTGAGAGACGTTGTGTGTGTTCTTCCCTTGAGGTTGTTTAACTCCAGGTCTCTGTGCATTTCTTGCAACCCTTTACTTTGTCTTCCCAAGCTTCCCTCGGGAATGTTCTCTTCCTTCTTTTATTTCATCAGTTATCCAGTTTGCTTTAGTGACTATATTCAAGAGCAAGTTTCAGAGTATCTTCAGGCCTCTGCTTTCGTCTTTCCTTTCTTCCCTCTCTAATTGCCTTTTGCTTTTTCATTATGATGTTCTTGACTGCTCCCCACAACTCATCCAGCCATCTCTCGTTTGTGTTCCGTGCATCAAACCTCGTCTCTAAATTCAGATGGAATATTCTCAAGGTAGTGTGTTGCTCCTCATGGGCTTGTCTTCATGTTCTTCAGCTCCAACCTTCGTCTGCAGGCGACTAATTGATAGTCCATCCACAGTTGGCCTCTGGCCTCATTGGGCTTCCCCACCGTCTCCTCCCACAGATGTATCGTTTTGGTTCCGGTGTGCTCCGTCGGGCAAGGTGCACGTGTCTCCTCCACTGATGTGGTTGAAAAGAATTTTGCAGTGAAGAAGTTGTTGATCCGGAAAAATGCTGTCGTGATCTTCAGCTTCATTTCTTTCACCAAGGCCATATTCCCAACGTCTGGTCCTTCCTCTTGCATTGTCAGATTTCACACTCCAGTCACCAGTAATTATCAATGCATCTCATGTTTGACTGATCGATTTCAGACTGAAGGAGTTAATAGAATCCTTCGATTTTTTAAAATGGAAATCTTTTTATTTCTTCCTTTCATAGTTTTGAAAAGTTTTATTTGTACTTCCCATATCCTATAATACAATAGTTTAACCATGTCAAGAAGAGTTGTACAATCTTTACCACAATCAACTTTAGAACGGTTTATTTCCCCCATCAATCTCTTTATCATTAGGTTAGTGCTTAGTGCCTTGATCTGAGTAACGGTTGCAGTCGCGCTCTTCTCTGCAGGTGCAAGACAGACAGCACTGTCTTCAAGAGAGATCTTAAAGGTACTTTAAAAAAGCACATTTTATTGGGGCTCATGCAACTCTTATCACAATCCATACATACATCCACTGTGTCAAGCACATTTGTACATTTGTCGCCATCATCATTCTCAAAACATTTGCTTGCCACTTGAGCCCTTGGTATCAGCTC